TAAAAAAAATAAAATTCATGCCAACCTACACCCAGACATAAAAATTTTATCACTTTTGCATGTATCTTTTTATTGCACGCATACCTTTATTATTATTTTTATCAAGGTAAAAATCATATGATGGATAATGTTTTTAATTTAACATGAACATTTCACATGTCATTTAATAGGTATTTCTGGTTTAATCTTTAAACGTGCTGACTCCAGTCCTTCTCACCTCATTCACCACTGTCACTCTAGATCAAATCACTACTATCTTTTGCCTCAGCAGCTTGCGATGGTCTACTTCGTATAGGAGGCTTCCTCCTTTTCCCCACAGAGAAGTCAGGTTGATCCTTTTAAAGTATCATTAAGATCACATTACTCTCCTGTTAAACAAACAAAATTACTAAATTCTTGTCCATCATCTACAAGCCCTGCAAAAGGTGGCCCTTACCTTCCTTTGGCCTCTCAGTGAGCCCCAATCACTGGCCACCTAGTTTGACATTATGACTTATGCTTAGTTCTGCCTTGGAAATTCTTCTCCTACATATTTCTACATGGCTCGTTCCCTCTCTTCATTTAGGTCTGTTTAAAGATCGTTTCCTCAGAGAGTACTTCCTTGACCACCCCACCTAAAAACTCTGCCTCTAACTTATTTTTAAAATATATAATACCTGTCATTTTCTTTCTTTCTTTTTCTACTTGGAACGCATTTTATTATGAGGTGTCTTTTAAGAGATTTAAATGTTCTACCTACCACTGTGAGCACTTATCCTCAAAGCAAATACCTTCTAAGATATTAAGGTATTCGTTTTATTTGGATCTTATACTTAAACATATTAAAACTTACAAAGCCTGAAACAAGCAGGCAACAAGTCAATAAAATCACTACTTAGAATTCTAAGATTTTCATGTGGTATTATTGACTATACAATGCAAAAGTCCCGTAAGTGTTGAAGTGGAATCATCTCTAAAAGTTACAGTAGTGTGACCAAACAAGTCACACTATAGAAGACTATAGAACATGAGTAAATACGGAAAGTTGTTCTCCAGCACTTGAAATGTTATTTGACTCATCATTTTAAGTAGGGGGGTATAAAATAAGTATGGATCAGCAGGCTTTATATGTAGACAAAATATTCTAATTAGGCAACCACATATTGATGATTCTCTCCTTCTCTTTCTCCCTCCTTTCCTCTTTCTAAAAATAAATAAAATCTTTTAAAATTCTAATTAAATATCTTAAAAGTATTTTAGATGTTTATTTGATATTGGAAAGGTGATAAACTATCATAAAGTACTTCTCTTCATCATAAAAATTCAAATATGACAGATTTACACAATCCATGGGACAAAATCTAGAAACATTATTTTTATCGGATCAAGTAAATTTCTAAAAAGGCTCTCCAAAGTCTTGACTAAAAGTGTCACATTCTGCAAGGGAATGCTTGAGTTATTCAATACATCGCTCACCTATTTCACGTACATTCTGTCTCGATGCAAACTGTAGAGACTTTTCGAATAAAGAATCTTTTTTTCAGTCAGAATTTTCACAACCATCCCTAACGTTTCACAGTGTTATCGGTAAAACTGTTCCATCTCTTTTGTTTTTGATGCTATTGCTTTAGAGCAGCGATTTTCAACCAGTGTGCTACAGCAGGCACATTGATGTGATACATGAATGTTTAAAACATTCAACACCTGACTATTTATTCAGTGACACTGACCTCTTCTCCCTCAGACTGTTAAATTTAAAAAATGACAACACCCAACACCACAATACCCATCTAATGTGAATGAATCAAAATTATATGCAATTAGACCTATTTTCGTCAGATCATCAAAAAATAAATATTTGGGTGTGCCACAAAATTTTAGTAATTAGTTTATGTGTGCCATGAGATGAAAAAAGTTGAAAATCACTGCTTTAGAGCTACTGTTTAACTGACCGTCTTTAATACTTCTATGCCATCTATTGCATTTGACTCAGGTTCTCCTGGCTGGTCAATGCACAAAGGTGCTGTGCATCCTGCCTCATACTCAGAAATTTCAGGTAATTTCACATTCATCTGCCTTGTCTAGCTTTTCAGCAGCCTACTTGTTTGCAGCCTCAGCGACTTCCTCTTTAGATAACTTACTGGGTTTGTCTAATACCTTTGATGAAGGAACAGTTGAAAAACTTTAAGGTGAAGTGCCCCTTGGTGTTTTTGAAGAATGAACAGATCTCTCTTTACTTCTGTGTTGAACTGATGGAAAGAGTAAGTTTTGCTTCTTTCTGGAGAGTAGCTCCTATTACTGACACTGGAGCCAGATCTGCCTACAGGTGAGTCTCTGAAAAAAAAGGAGTTTCTATTTTATGAGGAGACTGGTCTCTTATGTAATGAGAAACATAGAAACCTTTTCTTCTAAAGCCATCTCTCATGTCACTGTACTCAGGCTGACAACTTCCAGAATGATCATCTCTTGTCCACTTATAGCCAGATTCATCTCCTCTGTGAGGTGGACCACTTCTTTGATCATGAGAAAAACTGCAGCCCTTGTCCTAGTCTCAGAAGTCAGCATGACCATAATATCTATTGTAGCTTCACCAGGTCTGTCTAGCAGTGGTGGTTTCTTTGGCACAGTATTAACTTCTCTATGGTATCCATCACTGGGGTGACTTCAAGGAGGTGCAAATTCTCTTGGAAGCCTTTTAGAGTCATATCGTCCCTCAGGCCACATTTCTTCTCTTCTGTAAGCCACAACATAGGCCATGGGGAGACCTTCTAAATGTGGTTGTTGGATTGTTGCTGTTCTCCAGGCAGGCTAATACATGCTGTTTTGTGACATTGTGTTATGTTTGCTTCAATAAATCAATAAACAACCTGCTGGCAAGGATGTGGAGAAAGGGGAGCCCTTTTGCACTGCTGGTGGGGATGCAGATTGGTGCAGCCACTGTGGAAAGCAGTATGGAGATACCTCAAAATACTAAACATGAAATTGCCTTATGACCTAGCAATTCCACTTCTGGGAATTTATCTGAAGAAACCTGAAACACTAATTTGAAAGAACATAAGCACCTCTATGTTCATTGAAATTATTTACAATTCCTAGTACATGAAAAAAGTTGTTATATTTTATACCATCTCAGAACTGAGAGCTACTTTCTTTTCACTTTGAATGACAATGTAAGTTTATCTTTTAAACATTATCATTTTATACAGAAAATGGTTATTATTTAAATGTGCCTTTCTTTAATTACTAGAGGACAAGCATTTGTGTATGTAATTATTACCCATTTGTGTTTCTTTTTATGACTTGCCTCTTCACATCCTTTGCTCACATTTCTGATTTTCCTGTATTGTTAAGAGCTGTTTTACAGTAAAGTGGCACATTGTCTAATACATGTTAAAATATGACATTTACCAGTTTGTGATTCATTTTTCAATTTTTAATAAAATGCTTTTGCTTTTTTGTTTACCATGTAGACATTTAATTTTTTATGATCAAATTGATTAGTTTTTCCCTACATGGATTTTGACTTTACTGTCACTTTTTGAAAGTTTTTTGATCTATTTTGAAATATTCATCTATTTTTTCTTCAAATATTCAATGTTTCTAAAAAAGGAAGAATACAATACATTATAGCTGGAATTGATTTGAGAATAAGCTATGAGATGGGGCTCTTATGGTTTCTCCCTTCAACTGGCCACCCAGTTGTCCTCCTTTTAATAATCCATCCTTTCTCCACTGATAAGAATGTAAAATTGTAAGATGCTATGGCTTTTATATTAAAATCACACACACACACACACACACACACACCTTTTCCTCCTTCTCTTTTTAATAAAGTTTTGGACTTAAGCCAATCCTATCCTTGAGCCAATATTCCTAAAAACAGAGAAGTATTTTTATTACCATGTTCTGTAACAAATTTAATAGTGGTTACCCAGTAGTTTGGTATTAGTACTCAAGTAATATTGGGTACACTTTTTAAGGGAGGGACTACATACGTTTGCCCCAACTGCCATCACGACCCAATCTAAGAGTGTCAATCCACTCAGGATAAATCTGATTATTACTTTAAATAATGGTTTGCTTCTAGAAGATCGAGAATGGTGCGTCAGGGTTCTCTGTTGAAAGCCCTCAGAATGTTGGGCTCCAGTGGGGAAGAAGGGACACAGGAAGAATCCATGGTAGGCTCAATCAGACCTAGGGAGAGAGACAGCCCAAAGAGCCCATGGAACTAAAGAAAAAAGGTAGTAGGGTCATTTTAATTTTTCAAGTAAGGTCTCAATTTTTAAATGTACGAATGAATACTCTGATTCAGATGCACCAGAAAATGCCTACAGGAAACGATTTGTAGTTGTTTTGTGACCTTAGAAAAGCAACATGCTTAATTGCTAAATCCCGGAGAGTTTAAATGGGGGGTGGGGGGAGGGCGGGTGACCCGGGAGGAGGAGGAGGGAAGAGGGCGGGTTTTTCCCCTGACATTCCTTTTTAATGCTTGCTTAAGCGGTCCATTGCACCTTGGCGTTCACTGGGCCGAACCTCTCTCAATAGATTTTTATCCAAAACGCCAACTGCGGGAGACAAAATTAGATGTAATGTTACGATCTTTTTGGACGTCGAGCCACTGAATAACTCCCCTGTGATAGATGAAACACTAGCCTAGCGAGAAAAGACAAGACCTAGGTCTGGGGGCCTTTGTATGGAGAGGGACCTTTCTGGCTGAGAAGAGAGTCCGATCCAAGGACGCGTTAGTTTTATCTCGTTTTGAAACATCTTTATCTGACCTCCTCTCATCCAGTCTGCATCTCCCATCCCTATTTCCTTTCGGCATTTCTGCGGTACTGCGTTCCACTAACTGCAGTGTTATTTCACCACCTCCTCCTCCCTAACGGCAACCGTTTAAGAGTTGGCCCCAGAATCCTGGCTTGCCTCCCTAGCAAGCGCGTCTCTAAAGACCGCCGGAAAAGGCTACGATCACGTGCCGTGAACTTCCGTGTTTGCAACGTGATTTCCGGTTGTCAATTTACCGGGACGTGGTGGCGGCGGTGGAGGAGGAGGAGGAAGAGGAAGGTTGTCTGTGTGGCCAGAAGTCGCCGTGGCCCCAGTGGTGGTGGGCTCCGGGTGGGCTCGTCTCATCCTGCTCCGTCTGCGATGCATCCACGGCGCCCGGACGGCTTCGATGGCTTGGGCTATCGCGGGGGTACCCGAGATGAGCAGGGTTTTGGCGGCGCTTTCCCTGCAAGGTCTTTCAGCTCCGCGTCGGACCTGGGCCACTGGGTGACCACTCCCCCAGACATTCCGGGTAGCCGTAACCTGCACTGGGGAGAGAAGAGTCCGCCCTACGGAGTGCCCGCCCCCACTACCCCCGAGGGCCCGGAGGAGGAACCCTTTCCTGGAGGCGGCGGCGGCGGCGGCAGCGTGCCGGTGCAAAGCAGCGGTGAGGGACGCTGGGAGCTAGGTAGGGGTGGGTGGAGTGGCCAGGCTGGGCCTCGCGGCCTGCAGACCCCACAAACCGCGAGGAGGGGCCTCCGGGGCCTCTAGGTTTAAAGCGCACCACACCCTCTGCCCTCTCTGCGTCCTCTGTCCTTGAGGCGGGCCTCCTGCCTCGTCCTCACTGAAATGTTTTCTCCGGGATCACCTCCAAAAACGACACCTGTCTTAGTATGGGCTGCGTGGTAGGAATTTCTGAATTCTACGGGCCAGGCGTATTACAGCCCGTGATCTATCTAAACCACGAAAGAAGGAATTTGGATTGCTTATCGTTCATTGGGAATCATGTGAACAACACCCAATTAAATGATCGCTGTATTTCTTTGATGTAATTAATTGGAGCGTTGTGTCTGCAGTTTTTCTGCACAGGCAGGCTTGGGCTCAAACCTGGCTCTGCCACTCCTAAAAGGTGAGGGATTTTGTAAAGGTCTCTGAGCCTTCACTTTTCTCATCTTTAATTAAAGTGGATGGAAGAATAACAGTTTTTTTTTATTAAGTGTTAAAATGAAGTATGAGTAATGCGTAGTGCAGTATGGAGCACATAGTAGGCTAAAAATACTTGTTTCCTTCCTTGTCCCTTTTAATCATAGGAATTGTGTCTTTTCTAGATACCAAACTACCCCCTGACATCAGACCCTGTTGTGGTAGAAGGGAAAATGTTTACACTTTCCCATTTTCTTCTGTTAACACTTAGGGTAATAACAAGTTGAACCTTAATCATTTTAATGAGTCACTTGAAATAAATAGAGAAATTGTAATTTTATTTTTTTAATTTTAAAGGGCTAAAATAACACTTTTTTATGTATAAGTTATAGATCCTAAATTCATGCAGCTCGATAAAGACTTACGGAACCGAGAAATGCCTGCACCTTCTGTTTTCCTTTTTTTGACTTAAAAATTCACTAAGGAGCGAAAATCACTGACACAAGATAAGACTTTGAATTCAAGACATAATTATTTTCTGTAGGATGTCAGAAGACCTGTGTTTTATTTGCCATATTGTGATTTAGATAATCAATATTTTCAATGTCTTTTTTTATTCATAAAAATGGAAATAATGGCTACCTCTTCCCATTCTCCTGAAATTGTTAGAATAGTAGATGATATTAGTAAATATGAAGTATATTTTAGACATGTTTTATTTTCATTTCTTCTCTTTTGACTTGTAGGCGCAGTAGTATTTATTTGATTTGGGTTAACTAGGAGGAGTAGACCCTGTCTAAATATAGTCTGGCGAGTGAATGATGTGGAGGAGAACCAGTGATTTAGTGTGATAACAATTGGCTTGTTTATTTTTCCTGTTTTTCTTCTTATTGGTCCCAGAAGTAGTACTGGAAAGTTATAAATTAGATAATTCAAAATGTGCATATGGTTGCTACATAGTTCTTCTTTGGCGGTAGAGTTTATCTTTTCATAATTTCTGCTCTGATGGTTACAATGAGGAGGAGCTCTTGATGAAACCAGGATTCTTTTAGCAACAGTAAGAGGCTGGTGAGTCTAATTACAAGGAGGTTAGACGCCTGAGAGCCTTACAGCGTTAATAGTAAACCTTCCTAATACCTTCCAGAAAATATCCTGGTATTTCCTGTTAACATTAGGGGATGATCAGTACACACAAAAAGGAAGGCTGAAAGGAGGAAAGTACCTTAACTGGGGCAAAAGAAGCTGCTGTCTCACTTGTATGGTTTTCAAAGGGTGAATCAAGTAGTTTCTTCAGGGACATGTTTACATGGCCTTGTTCTGACTGTAGGGAAATAGTGAGGACATTGCTTCATTTTAAAAATCAGGGAGGGGAGATGTGGCAAGAGAAGAGAGAATGGATGAGAGAAAATTATCCCTTGGGAATATTGTATTACAGCTGAAATTTGATGACTAGTCCCCTGGGGTTGTGAGATGCTATCATCATGATTTTGAGATTTTTTTTAGTCAAGAAGAAAATATTTTTTCTGTATTGATATGTGTATTGATATGTTCCAGCTATAAAGTTTCCTAGTAAGACTATAGAAATGCCATCAGCAGCAGCACACATGTATCCAGTAGTCTATCACAGAGACCTCGTTAAACAGCTACTCTCAAAATATTTAAAATTTGGGAAGCCATAGAAGAGAACCTTACTTACCCACTTTGATTACTCTTAAGTACTCTCCTCAAGTCAACCTTTGTGGTGTTTTACTTGTGAGTATTAGTTTAACATAGATGCTCTCCACCACTAACAGGGACTGACTAATTTTCCAGCAGGGGAGGTAAGGTTGTTGGTGTAAGTATCAGTTAGAGCCTTCTACAGAAAAAATTGTGTATTGTTTATTGTCAGGAGTGGAGAACTGGTAGCCCTTAGATTCTACCTACAGACGTGTTTGGTTTGGCCAACACAGTGTTTCAACACTTTTTAAAATAGCTGCCAATACTTTTTAATTAGAAGATGCTACATAAAAATGACAATATCTTTTTTAAAAATCATAGCTTAGAGCGTCTGAGCCCATGGTCCCTCGGTGCAACAGTGAATTGGGGCTAAAGAGCAGTTGTGCCTGCAACTCGCCACAGGCCCCAGTAAGTCCTTCACTCATCCAAGTGCCTTCCCTGGCCCCTATTGGAGTTTGACTTTGGGACCTAAACTTTAAATGAGTATTATGTTAGCAAAATACAGTTTTCTTGTTTTTACAGTAAATCTAAATATCAGTTATGAGTAATCTTATTTCTTCTATTTTAGAACAGTTGAGTAGATTTGCTGGATTTGGTATTGGACTTGCAAGGTAATGTTTTATCTAAAGATTTTTAATTTAAGTTTTTACTTAAAGTTTTTAATGTAATAATAAGTCATGAGTAGTGCTTTCTTTAGATTGTTCTTTGTAGCAGTAGATTAAATATTGAATAATATTTTGCAGGAAAAATGATTTTTTAAAATTTGTAAGTTGATTTTTCCTATAAAGCTAAAGAATAGTCATTGAATTTTATAATCACAAAATAATTTTGTGAGGAATATTGTAACACTTTTCATGTATCCAAAGAATAAATCAAATCTGATATCTCTTCCCCTCCAGAAAATGAGTAATTTTACATTGAAGATTGGTCCTAAAAAATTGAATTACAACAAGATATTTAGCAACATAGAGTCTAGGTTTTTTTACAATCAACATTTAATAGGCATCATTATTTTTTATTTTTAATGATTATTTTGTATAAGAAAAGCTTGAGGTCTTGATTATATGATCTTCAGTGAATACTGTGTCAAAAATACTATAATTGCACAAAGGCTGACATATCCTAGGATAACTCGTTTTAAACATTTTAATCAAGAAAAAATTATCTTATTTGCATGATTAAACTTGAAAATGTTAATGTCAATAGAAAAAAATTGTGTATTAAGATTTTTCTTTTAGAGTTAATTTTTCTTTAGCCTCACTGTTTAGACTTAAAACTGTTGTCCATTTGATATATTATTTTCTATGCGTTTATATATACTCACACATGTGTGAGTGTGTGTGTGTGTGTGTGCACAGCCCTGCAGGCATGTGAAACTTATAGTACTTAAGTCATGGTTATGGTTGTAACTTGTTTGTAGGGAATGTTTTCAGAAGAACTATTTTATACATTAAATAGTCATCAATTAACATGGTCATGGAAATCCTTGTAACTTAAAGGAAAAGTACATCAAAACCAAAATTTATAGAATGACATTCATGAAAAGTAGGTGGCTATTCTGATAGGAACTTTGTGCCTAAGACATTATCTGAAAGTAATTGAAAAGGGCATTTAAATTGTCTAGGAAAGGAGTTTCCCATATTACATACACAGAAATGTAGTTTCATTTTTATACTATACATTTTAGTATTACATATTGTTCTCTTGCCTACCAGTTTGCAGATCTAGCTTTAATTCTTTTCTTATTAATTTTGTTATTGGTACAATAATTTGCAAACATGTCTGTATTTTTTTATCTTTATTTTTGGACAGCTTTTTTTTTTTTTTTAAGAATTTTTTTATGTATTTGTAAACAGGGGAAGGGAGGGAGAGAGAGAAACATCAATGTGTGGCTGCCTCTTTCACACCTCCTACTGGGGACCTGTACCACAACCCAGGCATGTGCCCTGACTGGAAATCAAACTAGTGACCCGTTGGGTCACAGGCTGGTGCTCAATCTACTGAACCACACCAGCCAGGGCTCTATGTATTTTTTAATTTAAAAAATGGGAAACATAAAATAATGCGTGATTCTTCAAGCAAAAATAATTTCAGATACATATATGTTATAAATTAAATTTTGGCTATATTATATATATTTATAAATTATTCTTATATAGTCTCTTCACAGAAAATGTACTGGCTCATCCTTGCATTGTTCTACGCCGCCAGTGTCAGGTAAATCTACTTTCTATGACCTTCTAAACAATAATCCTAACCCTGATTTGAAGTACAGCACTCAGATAAATGGCTGAGGCCATGTAACCATTATTCCATGTGAAATGTACTAAAAGCTATAATATGTCAAGGTCTCAAACTTTTTCATCTTTGAAGCCTCTTAAGTTGTAAAAATTAAGATCTCCAAAGAACTTTTGTGTATATGGCTTATATCTATCACTATTTACTATTTTGAAAATCAGAACTGGGAAAATGTTGGTGTGTGTGTGTGTGTATATATATATTTTATATTTTAATTCACTACAACTAATGATAAACCCAGTAGATATTAAAATAGCATTTTTATGAAAAAGAAACACTATTTTTCCCAATATTTTTAACAGCTAGCATAATAGAAGACAGCCAGAATTTTCACATCTGCTTCTTCAGTCCATATGTTGCAATATATTGTTTCTGAAAGAAAAAAGAATGTCTAACCTTATAAACATAAGTATTTGAAAATAGGAGTATTTTATATTTCATTTTAGAGAATTGACAGATATTGTTTTTGATACCACGTCTAACTCAGTAAGTGGTAATGTCTTAAAGGTTATTTGCAATGTGAAATCTGAAACTACATCCATTAACTTTTTATACTTTGTTACATTAAAGTCTATTGATCTGTACTGCATGTGTAATGGATTTTTTACCTATGCATGATTCTCTTACATCACAAATTGATTAATTGAAAAATGTTGGTTTACCGAGTTACATAGGTCTTCCGAAAGTTATATAATCTTTTGATTATACAGTACTAAAAGAAAACATCATTGAAATCACTCCAGTCTCACAGAGAAGCGTTTCAGTGTTGGTAAGCTCTTGATGGTGGATATAGGTGTTCGAGAATTCTGATTTTTGCTTGTATACTCAAATATATCATTGGCAGCAAATACTATTATTTTGGATTTTTTAAAAAATCAATAAGCCGACTTTGTTCATTTAAAAAAACACATTTGTCCTCAATGTGAATAGCTTTAGTTGTGTTAGTTTTTCTAGAGGAAATAGTGGCCATGAGAAAAGTGGCTTGTGCAGCCTGAAGCTTCATTAGACAAGTACTTCTCCGCACAACAGCCATGTTACTTCATTGTGCAACATACAAAATATTAACTAGAAAAATGATATATACCCAAGCGTTAAGATTTTATAAAATTAATGTATTTTACTGCTTTAGCAAGGACATTGTGTAGTGAAAGTGGCTTTTTCCTCCTTATAAGTAAATAGGGTGAAGAATACAATTAGTACACGAATATAGTTTGCACCACTGTCTTGATTCACACTAAGGGTTAGCAGTTTACCCGTCACTGCTGTTACTCAAAATGTCAACACAAGGAGAAAGGCAAATCATGTTTTAGTATCAAGAAAGTAATTTTGAATTTGTCAATTCCCTTAAAGACTCTCAGGGGTCAGTTGACCACGCTGTGGCAAAACTCCTATAATATAACTTCCCTAGTTTGAAAATTGAGTTAGAAAAGATGTAAATAATTACAAATTAAGGGGTTCATGCTTAGCACCTAAAAATAAGTGATTATAGAAAAATAGCCATTTAAAAAGCATAAATAGTTATATATGCCCCAAAACACTGAATTTCAGACAGTTTTTATAAATTGCGACACTATGGCATTGTGATCCAGCGGATACATATATGTGTGTAACTTTAAAAACTGTTTTATGAAATAACTTTAGAGTATGTGATGCATCCTGATACTTTTAAAAGTTATTTCACTTAATAACTATTGGTCTGATTGCCTTTACTGATTTTATGATTTGCTAATTGTTTATAGCTTATAGTCTGAACAATACTGGCTATTGGGAGACACATATCTCCTCTTCCCTAAGTTCTTTGTGGTTCCCGTGTGTGAGAAAGCATGAGTGTTTTGTCACATTGAATGCAATCTGAGTGTTGAAGGAAACATAATGCCAAACAACAAGGCCTTTATTATATATTCTGTATTACTGTGTATGTTATGCATTGGTCTTCAAAATTGTATTTATATAACCACATGTCCTTTTAATAAGTTATTTAAAACACTTTCAAGAGTAATTTTGCTTATGTGTAATCTATGCTGACTTTCAAATTGAACTTTCGTTTGTGCTGTGACTCTGCTGTGTATCTTTTATGTCCTTGTTACTTCTTACCAAAACAATAACAAAATAATCATGAAATATCTTTTTTACAGGTTAACTATCATGCTCGGCATTACCATCTCACTCCATTTACAGTCATCAATATTATGTACAGCTTCAACAAAACTCAGGTAAGAATTAGTCTATAGATTTTATTAAAGTTATTTATAATATAAGTTCTATTTGGCTTTAATAATAATTAAAGCAACAATAATTTTTTATAATTTAGCTAATAAAAATATCTTAACTCTTGTACTAAAATTAATGTAACATGATAATGACATCTTTTTGATGTCACTGAATAATCAGTGAATTTACACCTTTGCCCAAAATTAAGTATTAGGGATATTTAATCAGTATTAGAGATATTTAACTAGTTGAAATGTTCATCTTGGCCTAAATGTAGGCTACCCGACAAATATTAAAATAATGTTAGAAGTTAATTTAGTTGAAGTTCTGTACTAAAATGTCCTTTTCAATAATGCCTCATTGAAAATATAAGTAAACATTTAGTATCGAGTTTTATTAAGACCCTTTTTGTATTTCTTTTTTAGGCATTAACAGAAGTAATAGTAAATTTTGTTCATTTTAGGGACCAAGGGCCCTTTGGAAAGGAATGGGAAGTACATTTATTGTCCAGGGAATCACACTTGGAGCAGAGGGAATAATCAGTGAATTCACACCTTTACCAAGGTACCTTTTGGGTGTTTTCTCAATAAAAATATGACAAAATATGATAGTTTCTAAAAATACTTTGAATGTGAAAACGTGACTTGCCTTAAGTAGCTAAGAGAAGAAACAAAATTAATTTTATTCATTATATCTTATTGAATAAAAATAAAGAAAATGCTTCCTGGTATAGTATCTATTGAGGTATACCTTTCAGCCCTTACTACTGTGTCAGCAAAAATCAACTAAGGAACAAATATGGCTGTGTGAGCAATTTCTGCTCTTTAAGTAGCCAGTTTGGTGAAGGAGACACATGTAAGCAAATTATAGTACATCGTGATTAGTGCTGTAATTAAACAAACCTCTTTCGGAGCCCAAGGAACACTTCTATAGTTATTGTCGGGGATATCAAAAAAGAACTGAAATCTGAGGTAGATCTTGAATTATGTGTAGGAATTGAGTTGGGAGAGGACAAGAGGATTTGAGTAGAGGTGACAGAATGCTCACTGGAGGTCAGAAGGTCTGGGTAATGCATCCTGTGCTTGAGAATAGTGGGCATCAGTAGAGTGGAATAACGGGAAGAGAGACTGAGGTGCTAGACTGAAGCACGCCAGTGCCTTTATAAGGGCCTTAGGACTTATTATCTGGAATTGAAACTCAAAGGGATTTGTTTTGTTTTGTTTAATGTGTGTGATTGGATTGAGGATACACGTAAGTGGTAGTGTAAACAAAGAAAGGACTAACTGGTAGACAGAGACTTGTGCAGAACTCTTACAGGAAACTGGACCAGAATGAGAAGGGTCTGCACTGTGGAACAGAACAGAAAGGGGTGAGCTGGAGAGACATTTCTGAAGTATAGGGTTCTGGCACAAATAAACAAAATCTTTTGTTATAAAATAATAAGCATGTAATTCTGTAACATAATAATATCACACTCAAGCACACCATATGACATTTTAGGTGAAATGTGCAAATTAAAACTATAAATGAAATGATTACATCCACACTATTACCCTACCAACCACACTCAAGTAGGCATTACTTCTGACAGACCCTGTACAACTGGTAATTGATAATAGATTGGGAATGGGCATATGGAAGAGTGAATTATCAGTAGTGACTGAGATTTATAGATTGGAATCAAGTTGAAGAATTCATGAAGAATAAGTTGGAATGGAAAGGAGATGAGGAATTTGACCTTCCATAGATGATGTTTGAGATTCTTATAAGACATTTATGTATCTAGGAGAAACATATCTTAAGTGGTTGGAACCATGCATCAGAGTCTTAAAATTTGAAGCTGGAGGCATAACAATGAATGTAGTGGCATAAAAGTAGCAGTTGAAACATTGGGATGGATGAATTTCCCTAAGGAGATAGTATAGACTAAATAACATAAAGTAGACCAAGCACAGAATCAACATCTGATCTCTATCTCCCACCCACGCCCCTCCCAAATCCTTCCCCAAACCTTCCCCAGGTGGAGTGAGTTAGACTGTGTGTTGCTCTACCCTGAAGTACCCTTTACTTTCTTGCATATGGCATTTCTCCTATCATTGACATCGGGAGCACCTATAACGAAGGTTATCTGTGTAATTGTCTCTCACAGAAACAATTTTGTTGAACTCCAAATTATTTAGACTCAGCTCACATTTGTAGTTGACTAGCATAAACATCCCACGATTTCTTCTCAAATTGTCTTTTCCTAATGACACCTCTGAATTCACTGACTTGAACACCTTTTTTTAAAAACAGTGAAATCTTTCTTCAGTAACTTCAGTTAAGTTTCTAAGCACGTGTGTGTTACATGCGTGCCCTTGAATCATCTCCTACACCTGGCAGGCTTGTGAATGAGTGGTGTCCACAACATTCTGTCCTCATCTGCCCTGCCCAGCTTCTGTACACGTGCTTATGAGTTCTGGTATGGAGTCAGTCTATCTCATGTTCGCTCTTCCTCCTTTCCCGCTGCCTTCTGTTTTCCCAGCAGTATTGTTTTTTCCAAAGAACCCACCTTCTTAGAATGTGTCCGAAATAGAACAACTGCAGTTTTCCCATTTTGCCTCCAATAATGTTTCAGGCTTAATTTATTCTAGGTCTCTGTAAAGATCTCCTTCAATAACATATTTCAAACAATTTAATTTTTTTTCTTATCGGACTCCTTCACTGTCCAACTTGCATATCCATATGTAGTAATTAGGAATACAAGGGTGTCGATGATCCTAGCCTTGGCCTCTCATGACACATCTTTGCTCTTGATGATCTTTTCTAATTCCTCCATTGCTGTGCTTCCAACTCTCAACCTTCTCTTTATGTTTTGACTGTAGTCTCCTTTTGAACTAAGGTAAGCAAATCATAGCACTAACAGAGTCTAAGAGTAGGAAAGAAAGACCCTAAGTTTAATTTTGGACAACGTCATTTTCTTTCTTTTTTTTTTTTTAAAGATTTTATTTATTTATTTTTAGGGAGGGAGGGAGAGAGAGAGAGGGAGAGAGAGAGAGAGAGAAACATCAATGTGCAGTTGCTGAGGGTCATGGCCTGCAACCCAGGAATGTACCCTGGCTGGGAATCGAACCTGGGACACTTTGCTTCCCAGCTCGTGCTCAATCCACTGAGCTACGCCAGCCAGGTTGGACAACGTCATTTTCAGGTGCTTTGCTCTATCCAGGTGGAGTTTTCAGTAGACAGATGATATATATAAGGTTGACGTATAGAGAAGTCTAAGCTGAAGATAACAGAAGATAATAGATGGATGAGATTGCCTAGGGAAGGAGTATTTATATCACATATAAAGTAAGAAAAAAAGACAGCTTGAGCCTCTAGAAACTCCAGAACGGTGGCTGAGTTAAGAAAAATGCTCCTGCAAGGAGTCTACAGTGCACACCCAAAGAGAGGAGAAAAACCAGAAGAGTGTGGGATAGTAGAACACAGGGTCAGAGAGTGCTTAGAGGAGAAAGGAATATGAGTGCCTGATGGTTGTGAAAGGACAAGTGAAGTACCTACTAAAAATGTCCATTGGATTTAGCCACATGGAGTTCATGGGAACCTTGGCAGGAGCTGTTTCTGTTAGAACAATGAGGTAGAAACCAATTTAGAGTGTGTTTAGAGCTGAGTGGGAAGTTAGGACATGGAAATAGCAAGATTAGAAAGTTGGCTGTGACCAGAGATGAAGTAGCTGGAAGATGAGAGGTTTGGGTTAGGTTGAGGGAAGATTTTTTAAGAGGGAAGCTATTTAAACATGTGAAACCAGAGGCAGTGGAAAGTAAAGACTGTTTAAATATAGAGTTATTTAAAAATTCTGTTGCTTTTTTGTATTGATTGTGCATTAAGTACATATATTTGTCTATCAAACGGAAAACTATTTTGAGAAAGAGCTTCTCAAGTTTGTTGCTTGCATGAAGGTCAGGTTTTGCTTATAAAAATAGTGAATTGTATTTGCATATATCTTGGTATCTAATAATGAAATATGAAAAGGTTTAATCAGAGTAGATTTCTACACTATCCTCTTTCCTGAAGCACTTAAATATGCTAATTTAAATTTCTAGAGCTGTGGCAATAAGTTATACCCATTTTATGAAGGAGTAGAGAACAGATACAAGGAAGAAAATCCTAATTTTTAAAAAAGATTTTATTTATTTATTTTTAGAGAGAGGGGAAGGGAAGGAGAAAGAGAGGAAGAAAAACACCAATGTGTGGTTGCCACTGGCATGCCCCAAACTGAAGACCTGGCCTGCCACCCAGGCAAGTGCCCTGACTGGGAATTGAACCAGCCACCCTTTAGTACGCAGGCCTGCACTCAGTCCCCTGGGCTACACCAGCCAGAGAGGAAATCTTAATTTTATTAAATATTTGATTCTAAATTCTATTTTTCTCTCTTTTACTTTAATAATCTTAATGATTTTTAGAATTGGCAGTAGTGATTAGTTTTGTACTCAAAGTGGAGGTGACCCAGTCCTTTCAGAAACACAGGTCACAGACTCATCTGTTCCTAATGCTAATGACAATTTTACACTTAAAATCAGTGTCATAGTGACCTGTGGTAATACTTTCTGCAGCCATGAAAAGACTAATAGCAGTGCCCAGATGATTGGCAAACCATGTAGCATATTTTGTTTTGTAATCATAAAGTCACTGTCAGTAAGATGAGAGACCTATTTTTTTTTTTTTTTTACATTTTTCAACTTAATCATTGAATGTCATTCCAGCTATATTTTTCTGTGGTTGTTCAGGCCTGTAGTATTCTAATATTAATCAGAACATGACCCAGAAGGCTCTCTAAGATCTTGTAAATCAGAAGTTGTTCTATTTTCTAAAAGTTTCTCTGCAGACCACTCAGTCTCAGGAAAATGTAGGAAAGCTCACATACTATAATGGTACTAGGTTTGTTTTTAGAGCACTTACGTTATTAGTGAGTAATTTTCTTTGCTTTTTTAATATAAAATCTATCTATTCCTTTATCTCCTTAGGTTGGTTGTATTCACTTAGTTGAGACAGAATGTTTTTCTGTTTCCTGCTGTGGCTGTTACGCAGTGTGTGCTGGTTTCCTCAGGGGAGCTGGTGGCAGCTGACATCCCCCTGGGGTCACACCTTCCTTTCTCTCCTTTCTCTGTCTCCCTGGCTCTCCTGCCACCTCTGCTTCCCTCCCCCTCCTCTTCATTTACCTTCCCTTTTGTCTCTCCGTGCTCTTTTCTCTTTTTTGGAATTTTCTCTTGATATCTTTTTCCTTTTTCTTCTTCTTCTTTCAGCTTGCCTCTCTTCCTTTTCTTCTCTTCCCTGGTTTCCAAAGATAACAGCCTCAATAGCAGGAAGCATGCAGTCCTGGATCTTGGTTCCAGACCTGGCCTTCTACCTGTCTGCTTCAAACATGTCCCTGGGATTTTTTTGGCCGTCATTTTTCTCATAAGTAAAACAAATGCGACCATACCTGCTCTGCTTCTGTCGCAGGATTCTCTGTTGTATCAGATGAGATGAGAGGAGGGAGTGCAGGCAGAGTGCAGACTTCAAGTCAGAGCCCAGGGTCGAGAACCCTGTGTGACTATGAACGTCATTCTGTATTACAGTGACTTCGTCTTGTTTTGTTTGCGATTCCCACTCTTACATACTTTTTAAAGCTTTCAACCCCCTTACCCTATTCCTTGTTTCCCTTTCCTTTTCCCATCCAATTTTTTCTCAACTTACCACTTTCATATCTCCTTTAATCTCTCGTGTTCATTTTTGTAATCAGTAATAACATCCTCCTTTGTCAGCCCTTTCTGTCAACACATACAAAAATACCTTGAACATTTTGTTTTTCATTTCAAACCACCACAATTACTTGAAGTGTGTCCCAGAAAGGAAAATACTCAGGGTTAGAATATATTAGGATACATTTCTCCTACAGATTCTCTTGTAAATTAAAACTGGTTACTTTTTTGAAAGTTGAGTGAATTCAAGACATTTTAAATAACATAGCTTTTGTTTTACTTAAATTTATGTTTATTTTTTAGGGAGGTTTCACATAAATGGAATCCTAAACAAATAGGAGAACATCTTCTACTGAAATCGTAAGTATCAAAAGTGGTATTAACATTGAATATTCCCATTAAGTTTTAGAGTGTTAGAGCTTGAAAAAAATCTTATTAAATAACTACACTGAAAGAAGTTAGAGCAGTGAAATATTTGTGGGACTAGAACTTCAAAAGGCCAAGTGACATAGGGTTTAGGAATAAAATCCTGAAATATATGTTATCTTTAAAATAAATCTTTCCAATTTGAAAGACTGAAATCAGAATCTAATTTTTCTTAGGAAGTCAGCAAAGGTCTTCAACGTTTTAACCCAAATTACCAGGAAAAGTATTATTATTATTTGGTTATTAATCAGAGATACAAACTTATTTGTGTGGTGATGAGCAACCTCAAAACCTTAGTGTCATTAAAATTTAGTCCTAAAGGCACTTAGTGATTTTACAACACTGACCATTTTTGTAGATTAGAATTTTACTCTTCACTTTTTAATTTTTTTTGAAGATTGTGAATTGGAAACCCCCCGAGCTTGCTGGCTCCCTCTGTGGGGGCATTCCAGCACATTATTACTTAGTGATGTTCCATTCACCTTGAAAACCACTACTTGCCAGGACCTGGCCCCATAGGGTTAGGTAAGTCCCACCTTGATATTATTTTAAAATAACTATATTTTGCAGGCTTGCAAAGTTGTAATATTACTCTGTCTAAATATTAGTGGTAGGAGACAACTTTGCAAAGCTGTGCAATATCATTTTTTAATAATAAAAGGGGACTTCACTTACCATAGAAGACTGACTTAGCTTTGCTGGGTGGGGAGTCTGGAAATGGATGATGATAATATAGGGTAATAGCAGAACAGTGTACTTGTTCAGATATGACTAAAAAGACAAGCAGTGGAATGGGTCCCTCATCCTAAATTTTAAGTTTCAGTGTTACAGGCTACTTAGCTGTGTGCAGGTAGATGTCCAAACAGTGACTCATAAACTAGCCTACATTTTATAGTGGTTTAAAATAAAATCTATTTTCTTTGCAGCCTGTCCCTGCATTCTTATTAATACTTAATTTTTTATCTCTAATTGTTGAATAAAAATTCCATGTTACGGGTCTCTTAAGTATCTTTAGGCTACAGGTATTAATAGTTGAAAACCTTGAAAATATTCAGGCTTCAATATAAATTATGTTGGTACATTAAAATGTATATTTAAAAATTCAGCATAAGCATCTTATTCCAGTGTACTAATAAATTTGTTTTAATTTCTACAGCTTAACTTACATGGTGGCAATGCCTTTTTACTCAGCAAGCCTAATCGAAACAGTACAGGTGAGCTATTTTTTATAGTCACTTTTATTTAGTAATATTTTTGGAATATTAAATATGATTGTAAAGGGAAAAATTTAAGACAGTATGGTTTTAAAATTCTATTTTGCAGATGCACATATGTCAAAGGTTATATACTAGCACATTGTTGATGAGTGTGTTTCCTTTGCAAACTTACTTCACACTTTTAGTTTTAATTTTTTAATCTCTGCATAGACAGCTGGACTCTTCATTCAGATATCTCAGAACCCAGCTTATGACTTGCTCTAAAATACAAAGAATTCATAGGGTTTTTTTTCACTTTTTAAGACTTTTAAGCACAACTCAATGGTTATGGCTTATCATAAGACAATAAATCACCTAAGCATACAACATGATAAGACAGTCACCCTACTAGTGAGCAGGTAGTAGTTTGCACAGTAGTTTACTAATAGCATTCTTTTTAAATATGCCTTTTAAAGAGCATTTGATGCTATGGTATGTTAAGTGCTACAATGCTAAAGAAATCTCCCGCTAGTGTTTTAAATTGTTTTACTATTTCTAACCACATGGTGGCACTTCAAGTACACCAGATTAAAATACTTTCTGACCACATGGTTCCTACACTTAAACCTGTAAAGGAAGGCGGGTGAGCAGGGCAGGCGAGAGTAATGGGGGGGAAATGGGGACACCTGTAATTGAACAGTTAAAAAAAATTTTTAATGTTTAAAACAACAACAAAAAACAACTGTAAGGTGAAGATAGTTTAACTTTACCTATACACAAAATCCAATTGTGTATCACCTATCTTTCATAGCACATGTTTGTCCTCAATATGTGTGAGTTCCTTCTCTCTACAAAACCCTCACTAGTCAGCCTTTCCTCTTCTAATTACTCTTTTCCACTTAACTGTTTTTTGGCCCCATTATTTATTTGTTTGTTTGTTTGTTTATTTTTTAGAATTAATTTCTGTTAACCGAAGTTAATACCTTGCTACCCAAATACACTTTCCTCTCCTCTTACATTTGACATTGTGTTAAATAAATGCTAAAACCTTTGTATGGGGCTGCAGCTCATAGTTATTACTTTGTGAGATATCCTCATACAGATAAGGGGGGAAAATAGCAAGTTGGTTATTTACGAAAAAACAGTTAAGTAGCATGATATATTGGAGGGAAACAAGTTTTAGATTTAGACAGACCTATATCAGAGTCACATTTCTGTTTAGATCTGTGACATTAAACAAATGTCTTACCCTTCCTAAATCTTAACTTTCTGAGCTATAAATACTAAATGAGTAATTAATGTAAAGTACCCTGCTCACTGTGTGTGTTTTTTTAACCCAATATCCACTTCCTCTTTTTCCTGCTCCAGGTTCTACCTACTGATTGCCTCATTTTGATTTATTTTGTCTGATTTTCTAGAAACCTTTTTTTTCCTTCTTAGATTTCTCCTCTTGCATATCTGTCTTTTACAATACACAGATATTTGGGAGAACATTCTAAGCAAAGGGAAAGCAAGTGCAAAGACCCTGAGGTAGGATGTATCTCGTGTGCTGAAGGAGCACAAAGGAGGCCGATATAGTTGAAACTCATTAGGTGGGTTCTGAGAGTTGAGAGGGGGAGAAATTATATAAGACTTCGTAGGTCATTACAATAATTTAGCCTTTATTTTGAGGGAAATGGAAAGTTTTTGGTGGATTAGAACCAAAGAGTGACGTGATCTAGCGTATCCTTATTAGGATCTCTTTGGCTGCTCTATTAAAAATAGACTAAAGTGGGAAAGGGTCAGAGATAGGGAGATGGAGTAGGTTAGGAGACGTCAATTTAGTTCATGGTTTTAAATATATCCCGTTTACTGGAAACTCACATTTACATGTCCAGTTTGGAGTTTTTTCTTACAGTCTAGATCGTAAACTCCACATTTACACCTTAGACCTAACATTTCTGAACTCTTGATCTCTCCCTCAAAATGCTACCCCACCCATGTTTCCCAATTCAGTAAAACGCATGGCCGGTCCCCTTCTCCTGGCCAACAGCTTTGAGGTTATTTTTCACTTCTCTCTTTTATAGCCCACATCTGATCCACCAGCAGTTCTTATTGTCTGTAATTTTAGGATAAAAGCACAATTGAAGCACTTTCCTTGCATTAATACCTATGGTCTAGTCTCCCATCTTCTCTCCTCCAGATTATGCAGTAACCTTCTAACTGGCTTCCCAGCCCCTGCCCTTGTTCCCCTCTGCACAACAACCAGCGTTAACATCAGGTACTTCTTGTCCAGCTTCCACGTAAAGTCACCCAGCTATTTTCCCTCTGACTAAAAGCCAAAGTCTACCTAGTGGAATAGTATGGCCCCTGACTACATTTTTCACTTCATTCACTTCTTCAGTCATTGCTGTAGCCATGTTGACCTCTTAACCTGTTCCTTTTCTGACTGTCCGTGACTAATCTGTATCACAAACTTTGTTGTACATGTCCTCAAAACTATAAAAAGACAGAGACATTGTAGATGATAATGACTAACATTTATTAAGTGCCTTCTGGCTTCAGGCCTTCTTTCATTTAGTGCTCCCAGCAACTCTGGGCATGAAAGGTGGGTGGTACTAATTCCATGTTTATAGAATAGTAAACTGACTCTTAGGAGAAGTTAAATAACTTTTCAGTGGTCACATAAACAGTAAGTAATGGAGGCGGGGTGCAAATCCAATTGTAAGAACTCCAAGCACTGAACTGCCTCTTTAAGTGTCATGTAGTTAATCCTCTTCCAAATTTAGTTCTAAGGAGCATCTTGAGGTTGGGGAAACCAGATGTGTCCCCCCCACAGCTCCTTCCCTGTTCCCCTTTTCCAATAAAAATAGCTCCCAACTTCACTGCTATCTGTTTTATACAATTTCTTTTTTTCTTTTTTCTTTTTTCTTTTTTCTTTCATAGTTTTTATTTCATTTTGTTGTTCATGCTGTTACAGCTGTCCCACTTTTCCCACCTTTGCCCTCTTCCGCCCAGCCCGCCTCTCCACTTCCGTAGTCAGTCCCCTCACTGTTGTCCATGCGCATGGGTCCTTCATGTATGTTCTTTGACCCCTTCACCTTCTTTCTTTTTTTCTTATATAATCTTTATTATATTTTTTCCATTGCCATTTAGTGCTCTTATACCCTCCTCCCCTCAGCAGTCACCTCACTGTGGTCCATGTCCATGAGTCCTTTTTCCTTCCTGCTCCATCCCTCCACCACCAACTTCCCCCTACCACTAGCTGCCTAACTCCTAGGTAACATTTGAAGTCTGCAAACCATTGATGTTTTCGTTCTTTAATTAGTTAGTTAGGACTTAAAAGCGACCTAGCCCTAGCTGGTGTGGCTCAGTGGATTGAGCACTGGCCTGTGAACCAAAGGGTCACTGGTTCGATTCCTAATCAGAGGTTGTGGGCCAGCTCCCCAATATGGGGTGTGTGAGAAGCAACCACACATTGATGTTTCTCTTCCTCTCTTTCTCCCTCTCTCCCCCTCTCTAAAAATATAAATAAATACAATCTTTTTTAAGAAGGGATCTGAAAAGAGCTCTTTTTTTGTGGAAAAATAAGCAAATGTTAACTTTTACTCATTTTGTCATTTTTATTTTAGAGTGAGATAATTCGAGATAATGCTGGAATTTTGGAATGTGTTAAAGAAGGCATTGGAAGAGTGATAGGCATGGGAGTGCCTCATAGCAAACGACTGCTTCCTCTTCTCTCCTTGATCTTCCCTACTGTGCTGCATGGGGTTCTGCATTACATCATCAGCTCAATCATTCAGAAGTTTGTCCTACTAATTCTAAAGAGAAAGACTTATAATAGCCACCCCGCTGAAAGCACTAGCCCAGTGCAGAGTATGTTGGATGCTTATTTTCCAGAACTTATTGCTAACTTTGCTGCCAGTCTTTGCTCTGATGTTATACTTTACCCCTTGGAAACAGTGTTGCACCGCCTTCACATTCAAGGAACACGCACAATAATCGACAATACCGACCTTGGCTATGAAGTGCTTCCAATTAATACGCAGTATGAGGGGATGAGAGACTGTGTCAATACCATAAAGCAGGAGGAAGGAGTTCTTGGCTTTTATAAAGGGTTTGGTGCTGTGATTGTACAGTACACACTGCATGCAGCTGTTTTACAGATTACCAAAATTATTTACTCTACACTTCTTCAGAATAGCATTTGAGGTTTAAGTTCCCGGTTAGCCTAAAAGACATAATCTGGACAGTTTGTTATGAAATTGTGAGGGATAAAAGTGAACACTTGGGGGAAATGGATTAGAAAGTGAAACTGGTAGAGGAAGCCCACGCTGATTACAGCAACTTTTTTTTTTTAAGGCATAGGTATCATCTTTGGATCAAAAGTATTCCAAATTCAAAAACTCAGTAAAAATAACACTCATGAATTAAATTCTAGCTAGTGCAGCATGCATACTGAACTAAAAATAATCTTGGGCAGAAGCAAAAAGTCAGCAAGCAAAAAATTCACAGTGCTTAATTATTCCATCTGACTTTAATATTTCTTACATGTTTATTTTACCTTCTTGATTGATACTGCTATGTCATCCTTAATACAGGGTGTAGTGTGGAGAGGTCATAGTTTACCTTTAAGCAAATAAATCATGTCACCTGTGATGATGATGAAAAGGATTAGATTTGTCAATCTGTAATCAGGAGTTGGAGTTTTAAATTGTATTGCCCCTTCATAACCTTTTAATGGCTGCATATTTATTATATAAAGCCCTTTATGTGCACACAAAAACTTGGAATTTCCTTCAACAGATTTTTTACTCTTAGATCAGCTTATTGCATAAAACAAAGTCACACACTTTCTGCTTGAATATCATAATAAAATATTACAAGCCAGGGTACCCAAAGACTAAAGACAGACAGTGCACTTGTGCGCATCCAGATGCAGCGTTTACATGCCCCAGAAGCTTAATATTCGTCATGTGTTTATAAAGCTTGATTTGCTTACCTAATTATGTGAATCATCAGGCTGTTTTTTAGAGCTGCTCTTAACAGAGATAGAAAATAAAATAATCATGACAAACATTGCTGTTTCTAAATTTACAGATTGTATAATAAAAGGAACGTCACTTGCTTGCATTTCTGAATGACTTGTCTTAGTGGAGACACCATCAAAATTCACCTGGGAATTTGTGCCTCTGGCTTTCTGTGAGGTCATCATAAAACAATATTTCAGCTTTTATTTTCTTCCAGTTTTTGTTTATAATTTCATACCCCAAACTAGATATGCGCAAAGGGAAAGGCAGGTTTGTTCTTACTGTCTTGTTTTTAAACTTGCGTGGATGAATACTGAAGATAAATACGGACTTTAGAGGAAGTTTGTCCTTTTTATGGATGAGGAAAAGAGAGAAATTTCAACAAATAATCAAAAAAATTGTTAACCCATTTAATAAAAAATTCTGTATGTTCCTAATGGGTGAAGCTCTTTGTATAGTAGTAAAATGATATGCGTTTGACTGATTCATCATTAAACATTTTGAAGTTTCATTTCCTCATGTGCGTGGTCACAGTTCATTACTAAAGCGTAATGACTCTGCACTGATACTTTCTAACCTGGAATGCATACCAACAGATTGATTGTACTTGTTAAGTATCAGCAAAATGGTTACTTTTTGTGATTAAAAGTATTGGAACCAAAAATGATATCCAAAAAGTGTGAAACAGTATTTAGGTAGCAAGTCTTTCTTCTATCTTGTGTTGTATGTATTTTTAAAATTACTGAAACACTTAAGTTTTCCATTTTTAACTTTCACCAAGAGGGGAAAAATAAACACCACTGATCATGTGTTGTATTTTATGGTTACTCCTTCAGAGTCCAACCTATGGCATTTAAACTGTATTCATTGCTTTTGAACTAAGTTTTTAGATCCTTATATCTCAAACTTCCTTAAAAACATTCATTTTTATTAGGGAGGTGGTTTCAGACCAGAGTAAACGTCTAAAAATTGCAAGTTATGGGAAATTTCTGGGACAGAATCTGTATGGAATCAAGTATTTACTAGTAAAAATCTATGGAATCTTTTACCCAGCTGAAAATTAGGCATGTCAAGGTGACTGGATGGAGTTAGCATGAAGATTCAGTTACACGAACATTCCACTGAGACTGACAGCCTGAAGCCCACACAAAGGTTAGTCTTATTTTCTGTCTCTGGACAAGGAACACAAATTAACATTAAAACTAAAATTGAAACGTTGAAAGTAAAATACTCAAATTTTTACTGCCATTCCAAATTAGTTGAAATATAAACATCTTTAACATTCAAGCACTGAAATGCTGGCCAAATACATGTTTAAGTACTGACTTTAGAGAGGAGTAAGTGAAATAAATTTTGACATGCTCTTTCTCATTTAAAAATTGCTTTATTTCTTCAGCACGTAGGTGCCAAAAGCAAATATCCATGCACTACATTTCTTAATGTGATAATTCAGAATAGTATTTTTTAATTCTGTATGATTAATATATATTATGAATACAATTCCATTAAAATGTTGCAGAGGCCCACTGGTCCTTTTACATAATCTGACTTTGGCCACGGGGCTGAAATGTGCTATGCTTGCCTTACATTGTACAATTTCTTAATTTTAGATATTCAGAAACCGATTGAATTAAAAACAAACATAATAAATATTAACTTTGTTAAGTGAATTTGTTCATTGATTTGCTAAATCTGTTTATAAATCTCTTTACTTTGAGATACTTGGGGCCTATGAAAAGTAAGTCCTAAATTTATAAATTCAGTCAAGCCTTTAAACTTTCAGCATTAGATGTCACAAATATAGTAAAAAGTGGCCAATTTCAAAACTGCTAAAGTGACTGCGGGTTGGGGAATTCGCTACCCCAGCCAGTGTTTTCGGAAACAAAACTGGAGAGATTAGAAGTCTCGCTCATGTGCCCAATGACTCAGAGCTGTTTTTTTTAGCACGGCCTTTGTTGTAACTGCACAAAATATTTACTTTACAGCTTGTGCACAAATGCTTCAACATTTGTGTATTCATAAATCTCACAAAGTAAAACAATATGCTGCTTTGACACTGGTTTTTTTCAACTGAGGTTACGGGGGTATTTGACCTTGGTTTGCTTACTCCCATGTTTTAACATAAAAAAAGACTACTCAGCTGGCTCTTGTAAAGCTAAGAGGTTTGAATTAATTATTTTCAATAATACATAAGCAAATAAAATCCTCTTGGTCACAATTCACATTGCACTAGAATTTGAATGATTCTTTACTTTGGCATATCTGCTTTCTCTTTCAAATAACTGTACATTTCGCTTTCTCTAATGTATTGTAATGTCTTTCATTTGAGTCATTGAGTGTCACTGATATGGTACCAAGTTGTATGGCAGAGTGACAAAAATTTGTGATTTGTCAATGACTCATGTTAATATTACCTCAAGCAGAAGAGGTGTTTTGTCTGTATGTGTGTTTGGGTTTTTTTTTAAAAAAGTTGTTTTTGTCTCACTGGTGTTTTAAATGTTTTCAATAAATGGTGTGATGTGAAAAGGTTCAATAAAATTATTGAAATAAAACTAGTATTTTTCTCTTAGTGATGCTAGAGAACTATGCATCTGTTGGTGGTGTAGGGGTGAGAATACATCACCCCAAAAATACTACATTGGCATTTATTTTGATTTAAAGGCATTTGAGAAACAGCAGTGCAAGGAGACATCCTCCCCCTTCTTGGCCCCCCTGACAGTTAAGTACGAAAGCTCTCATGTGAAATAAAGCCCCCTTACCCCAGAGACGTGGAGTTTAGGGCTGAAAGGACAGCGTACATATACCTCGTTAATTCCTCACCATTTACTGCCCCAAGCCCAAACCCTCTGCCCTGTCAATTCTTCACAAATGTGTTGTTTCAAGGTCTAAAAGATAATAAAACTTCCTACGTTTACTTCCTTGAGTCATGTTTTATAGGGTTTCTGTACAATATATACAAACAAATTTATTTTTCTCCTGTTAATTTGTCTTATGTCAGTTATGTTATTAGACCAGCCAAAGAACATTCAAGGGAAAAAGAAAAATGTTTCTATGCCTAGAGTGATGGAAGTTAGATTTTTGTAAACAGAAATGAAGAGGAAGAAAAATAATATATGTAAAGTTTAACTTTTTTGCCTTCCATTTAAAAAATCCTGTGTTAGTGGTGTTTTATGAATTCGACTCCAAAAGCATGAGAAAAATAATGGGACTACATCGAACTAGAAGCTGCACAGCAAAGAAAACTACCAACAAAAGACAGACATCAGAAGACGTTTGCAAACTATTTCTGATAAGGGCTTAATATCCAAAATTTACAAATTTACAAAGTCTACAACAACACAATTAAAAATGGACAGAGAATCTGAACAGACATTTTTCTAAGGAAGGCATACAGACAACCAACAGGCATATAGGATGCTAAACATCACTGTGAGGGAAATACAAACCAAAACCACAGTGAGAAATCACCTCGCACCTGTTTAAATGGCTGTTATCGAAAAGAAAATTGGCAAGGATGAGGAGAAAACGAACCCTTGTACACTGTGAGTGGAATTGCACATTGGTACAACCACTATGGAAAACAATGTGGAGGGTCCTCAAAAATTTAAGAATGGAACTGCCATATGATCTAGCAACTCCTTTTCTGGGTATTTATCCAAAGAATATGAAAACACTAACTTGAAAAGGTATGTGCACCCCCATGTTAATTGCAGCATTATTTTTACTAGCCAACAGATGGAACGATCTTAGTGTCCACTGACAGATGATTGAGTGAAGAAGATGTGATATATTACATACAATGGAATGCTAGTCATTCAAAAAAAAGATAAAATACTGTCATTTGTGACAACATGGATGGATCTTGAGGATATTCTGCTAAATGAAGTAAGTCAAAAGAAAAGGATAAAAACTATGATTTCACTCACATGTGGGTTATAAAAAAAACAAGCAAGCAAAGCAAAACAAAAACAAACTCATAGACACAGGCAAAAGAATGATGGTTACCAGAAGGGATAGGAGGTTGAGGAGGGCAAAACAGGCAAAGAGGGTCAAATACACGGTGGCAGATGGAAACCAGACTATTGGTGGTGAGCATGCATAGTGTACACAGATATTACATTATAATGTTGTATGCCTGAAATTTATATAATGTTATGAACCAATGTTACCTCAATAAAATTAGTAAATAAAGTCCTGATACAAATGTAATGTGGCTCACAAGTCAAGTAATATATTTTCTAAAATAAGTTTCCCTTTGCATTATCCTTTGTGAAAGTCTTAACACACTCTCATATTTGATCCTTACAACAGTCCTCAGGCATTTTCTGAGTAGTGCTGTTCAGGGAGAAACAGATACAGATGGTGGGCATTGCTTGAAAGTAGCGTAAGGTGATCAGAAAAACCTGCAGCCACCCAGGCAGGACCAAGGGTTGAGACATGCAAGAGGCTGCCTAAAGGCAAGGAGGAAGAGCCACGAAGAAGGTTTCTTTGGCAAATCGGAGCATTTAAAGATAGATGGTCATATACGCTGGGGAATTTAGAAAGCCATGCACATTCTCAGGATGGGATGTGCGTGCTCAGAACAGAACTGAGAAGACCCTCAACTTTCACTGTTGGAAGACCTCTAAACTCAAGCAGGACGTGAAGGGTTGGGCACAGTTGTAAGCAGCCTGGCTAAGTGTTAATGGGGTCTCCCAGCACAGAGCCCAACCACAACGTTAAGCAACTAGCTAAATGCAAAGCCAGAAATCAAACCTAGGTCGTGCCATCTAGTTCAGTGTCCCACCATAATGACACCCCTCCAAGTCCACAACAGATAAATGATACTGTGGCCCCAGACAGGCTGCCCCCCAAAATCCTTCAGTGCCATACTGATTACTTCAAATTAAGGTTACTTGACCAGCAGCTGGTACCAGAAGGGCCATGGACCCACAGTTGTCTTCTTGAATGCCAGAAATAAGTTTCCCACGTGCAAGGTGTCCTCCTGCACTGCGAAGGCAGCCCTTATGGCTAAACAACTCGCAGTCAAAAATCTGTGTGATCTAATATTATTGTCTCTTTTCTAATGGACTAAATTTTTTAATTCCTCATTGACAAATACCCAAACTTTGCTTGGATTCCTTTCTAATGAACATTAACTTTTTGTTTGGTCAATTTTGCCCATGTTGTTTCTTTGTCTGAAGAGCACAAAAAGGGTATCTGGTTTGATTATTTCCTTGAGCCTCATTTTATGATCTGAGGATATTGTGATTCTCCTGTGGGCAGGTGTTATATTGGTTTTTCTCCTGTTAACACAGTCTTGTGTCAGTTTTGTTGTTCTATTATTAGTCCAGCTGTAAGAACTAAGGAAGGGTAGAGGTGGAAAATTCTCCCCCTCCACACAGTGTTCTAATATGTACTCAAAAAATAAAGAACAACAGCTGCCCTGGCCAGTGTGACTCAGTTGGTTGGAGCATCATCCCATAAGCTAAGGGTTGTGGGTTTGAATCCCAGTCAGGGCACATGCCTGGGTTGCCAGT